TCTGCTGGCAGCTGGAAGGAGGGGGATATGGGAAGATCTCTTCCCCAATCCCCCCCCAAAGCAAGGGCAGCTGGAAAGACACACAGACTGTCCAGCCTTGTTCCGCACCAGCACCAATGCAATCCCACCAGACAGGGAAGCACTGGGGTCCAACTCCAAGGAGGGGGGAGGGCAAGGGGGACAAGAGGGAGCACCGCAGAGCACAAAGCAGCTGAAGGGGTGGGAAGAGTGAAGGGGACAGACAAGGAAAAGGGTCTTCCTTTGCTAGGCCTTGCCCCAGGCTGAGGCTGTTAGAGCTCCCCATTCTTGTTCCCCACTGCACCTAAGGGGAAAGCAGGGTTAGAAGAGAAGCTGGACAGACTGGGGAGGGAGTGACGCCTTCGGAAGAACAGGGAGGGCAACTGTTCACCCCCACAGACCTTTCCACTCCACTCCTAGTCTTGTGGGATGAACATCTCCCGGCGTCTCTGCTTTCAAAAAAACAAGGCACGCTCCCTCTGGCCCTCGCCCGGCCATCTGGAGATTAGAGCGTGAGCAGCAGCCCCCCACCCACCCTCCCCATCTCCTCAGGCTGCTCCAGCCCCGCAGGGCTGGCTTCCCAAGGACTCTGCAGTGTAGTGTCTGCAACGTGTGGCCCTAAAGGTTTCCCCAGGACTCCGGCGGGGGAAACTGGTCTACGTCCCCCATTTCATTGTAGGTTTGCTCTCCCATGGTGAAGGTCAGCTTGTACCGTAGCCTCACTTTCTCCTGGACAGGGGAGAAAGGATAAGTAGTCAGAAAAAGGGGGGAAAAAAGGTCGTGAGGCACAAACCGCTCAGGTCTCTCTGAAGCTGCAGAGAGGAGATGGAACAGAGACAGGGTAGGCAAGCTTTGCCCATGCAGCAAGACCAGCCTCTGCTCAAGCCCCAGGGACAGCGCTGTTACCTTCTGTGGGTTAGCGAGCAGCAGAACTTGTGTGATGGCACTGGGGTGGACAATGGGGTTGAACGCCGGCAGCTCCGTGCCCGAGGGAGGCTGTAGCTTCACCTTCATCACCTAGGGAGAGAGAATCCCACGTTCCTGAGGAGGACCTGGCAGCCACAGGCCCTGCTCCTGTATTTAGGGAGCTTCCACCGTCTAGTCAAAGAGGAAAAACATGGTGCTGGTTCCTGCTCATCTGAAGGCAACACAACTCACTCTCAGCCCCAACAGAGCTCTCTCCACCCATCCTGCCTTTCCTGCAGATGTAGAATCACACTTTGGCCCAGTCTGGGGACCTCAGCCCCAGCAGCCACCTTACCTTGGGGACGGCAGACTGAAAGACAATGTTGCGGATGGGCTGCGGGGCCGTGCTAAGCATGGAAATCACCACCACAAGCACATCGGGCCTCTCGGGCAGGGCATCCTTAGCAAAGTGGAAGAGGACACGGAAGCCGTGCTGATCATACACCGTCACAGGGAGGATGCTGCCTGCGGGGAAAGGCAAGGACAGGCAGCAGTCAGCCAGGAGGGAATTGGCCCTGCAGCAACCTTTCCCCATGGCCCAAACTCCCTACAAGTGACAGAGACACCGCTCCTCCTCAACCTCCACAAAATCCAACAAGCAAGAAGTTTCCTCACGTTCTTCCCTTCCACATGCACTCAGTTTGTTCCCCCCAAGCTTGCCCCCCTCTTTCGCCCCGGCTCACTGGGTTTGATTGACTCCAGAGGCACAGTGATGTTGGCCAGTGAGATTTCCTGGGGCAGCGCGGTGGCAGGAGGCCGTGGTGGGACTGCGGTACTTCCTGCTGGTGTGGTGGCAGCTTTTGGAAGCACAGCAGGGGCAGGCAGCTCTGAAGTCAGGGGCAGCGTGGGGTTAGGGGAAACACTCTGGAGCACAGGCAGAGCGCTGGGGTTGTGGGCCGTGGTGCCAGAGCTGCTCCTATTCTGGAGATCCCTCAGGGTGAGCCGGGGGGGTGGCTGCTGCTTCTCCCTGTAGGG